CACGCCATATTAAAGTCAGATAACAAGCGCGAACTTCTGAAGTTTCGAAGCTTTACTGAAGTCACAGAAATTCACATTTTCTTAGACATCGCAGGAGTTCTAAATTGAAGAATATACTTCACGGAATACAGTACGAAGACCAAGAATGCTCGAAGGATTGGTCGCAGATACGTTTTGGATAAGGGAGAAGTCTGGCATTTTAGTTAAAAAGGTACGTGTATTGAAAACTCATATTCAAGCTTTCCTATTGTTATATACGCTGCATGTTGATTGCCATTGGTAAGTTTTGGATAATTTTAAGAATATCAATTTTGAAGTACGTTTGGGTCCAGTGCCAGTGGAGGTATAGTATTCTTCAATGTGAAGAAAACGCAAATGGTTAAAACGTCCAACGGTTTGAAATGGTAACAATATATAAGACGTTAGTCGTTCAAAGTTTAAGTTATGCCAGGACATATAAATTGTCTTATTTTATTAATTACTAGATTATATAATAACATCCGTCCATATACAGTAATTTGCATTGCCATGGGGTAAAAAATCATTTTCGATCCATCTATAGTGAATTACTACCTGCTGTGAGCCCAATTTTAGTTACTTGCAAAAATGTCAAAAATGTGAACAAATCAGTGCTAATTACAGTAATCTGTTACCCGTTGGAAAAGCTTCAGTATATTTGATGCTGTTAATTATGATGAACAGTTAAAATTACAAAACTTTACATAATGAAATGTATATTTGCGCAGGAAAAATCTTTGCAAAAATAAATTTTATTCAAGCTAGATTTCATACAGTTGTGACTCTTTCAAACTAATCAGCTTTCAAACAACTTGGCCAAATAACTAGTAGACATATACAGTAGACAAATATACGAATTCTGCAAAATCTTCTTCCCAATGTGCTGGGTATAACCATTGAGTTGCAATGCGCCCCAATGCTCCTTACTTCATTATTTTACTCTGTCTAACGCCGGACAATTTGTATATGTAGTAGGATGGTTTCTAGTGCAATTCAGTTGGATAAAACATGCACGAGTGAGTTTTTCAAAGAGCATCAAAATAGCACGAGTCCGAAGGACGAGTGCTATTTGAGGTCTTTGAAAAACTCACGAGTGCTTGTTTTACTCCAAATTTCACGAGAAACCATCCTCATTACGTGGTAAAATATATACATAAAAATGTTCGAGAGTTCATACAGCGAACCGGCCGACAACTGACAACGTTTTCGTTTTTCAACTTTGCCCTTTGTTATCGTGTCACATTTTACAACGCTAACGGTTTGAAAATTCAGCTATGTAAGTTTCGTTCGGCTTGTTTAAGGTGAAGTCTTTTCCGTTTTGACAAAAAGATAAAAGCCATGTTTTCCACCCGATCTCAACTTTTACTTATTTTGTTTTGAACTAATCTGTGACCGTTACTTTGAGGACTGCTTTAAGCTGATTGGTTTTAGATCTCATTCTTTTTCCACCAAAAAGATCAGTTTGTTGCAGATTTTTGCACTGCTGTTACAGAATTTTGCACTGCTGTTTGAGATTAACTGCACTGAAATCAACCAATCACAGTCGCATGAGTAATACTTTCATGTATATTATTTTTATCGTAAAAGGAGAGCACTGCCACTCAATGAGTAACGAACCCATGCAATACGCATACAGGGAATATTCAAATACATTAAAACTTTTACTATAAAATTTCCGTGCAAAATTTGCAAAAATTTAATTTCATACCACAGAAAAAACGCGAAAGTATGCACAAGTCGTAACTAACACAAAGAGAAGAATTTGGAAACACTGTGACCAATATGTTCTTTCATTTTGAAACAAACAGTATATTCAAATGAACGTATTTCCTTGCTAAGGAGTTCTCACGAATCAGCGACTTTCACTACGAAAGGGTTCTCTGAATTTTTAGTTTGATAAAAATTAGAAAACAAAGTCTGCTTCAAAGCGAATAGTGGCTGGGAAAATTGACTTGAAAGTTTAGTTCACGGCAATTATCAAATATAATCACATTTAATTTCATAATTGCTGGGAAGAAATTAATATAGTTTCACATTACTCAATAACGGAATGAAAAATATGCTCTAATTATTGTAATTGGCCAATTGGGCCATTCTCAAGTTGGCAACTGAAAGAGAATGGAAGGTTTATTACACTCAGGTGCCAATGGCTCAGTGGTGGTAACATTTTTGAACACTTGCCATCACGGTGCAATATATGGATTGGCATGAGAATAGGCCTATATCACGTTTTGAGTACTTTACTTGATGTTAGCAAGTACACAAAATTTCTAAAAACGGCAAATTAAGATGAAGAACACTTTAAATATTCCCATCTTGTAAACTCAGAATTCAAGCTGTTTAAACAAGATAATATTTCGACGTTCATTTCAAAGTCATTTGTCAAACTTGAAACTTGACAATGACTTTGAAAAATATAAAGTCGAAAAATTACCTTGAATTTTGTTGTCTTGTTTGTAAAATAGCCCGAATCTTGAGTTTACAAGATGTTAATATTCGAAGTGCATTTCATTATATCTTAGGCCAGGCTTAATATACTTCGCAAAATTGTCTGAGCACCAGAAGGCAGAACCACAGTTTTCAGCCCAGAATGTTTTTGTACTTTGACTATAGCTCTGTGGCTGTGCATTTCCGCGGTATTTATAACCGAGTGCTCGAATATGGCCTCAAAAAGCGTGATAAAATAAAGGTCTATTGATTGCCTTGAATAATATAAGCTTGCATGCCAGTACTACAATACGCTACTGTCAAAAGACCATTTTAAAACAATGAATAAACTGAATAAACTCAAACATTATGGTACCAGCGCCCAGAATTTTTGTACTTATGCAAAATTTGCAAAGTATAATTTCAAAAGACAGTAGTCAGTAGACATGGTTTGAATTATAAATAAGTTATGAACTATGAAGTCAGCTTTTAAAAAAACCACGAACCCGTAGAGCAGTAGAGGAGCCCTAAAAGCTGCATTGTTTTATCTAGACTATAATTTATCTAAAAGTATTCTCATCATTTAGAAAAAAGAAAGAATAGTCAGAATTAATTGCAATGGCAACGAAGGCAAAGGTACAAAATATTAATATTGTTAATGGCATAAAAAATTATAATATAACATTTGTAAATTCTGATTGGCTAAGAGCCATGTTGACTACTACAGACAGTAACTTAATGTCAACACGCATATTCCTGAAATTTGTGCTATATTATAAAAAAAAATATAAAACATTTTTTCCATATTGATATACAGTCATAGTTGTTAAATACAAGTCGCTAGTTTTTGAGCTGCACTTTCACACAAGCAAAACAAAGCAATCTTACAGTCAGATACAGCACACAGTCTGTTTTAAAGACGTTTTTAAAAACAAAGAAATTAGAATTATGGAAGTCATGACTCATGAGGTAGTCGTCTATAATTAGAGATCCTGTTAGAGTAAATTCCAATAGACCACATTGTGTTGTTAGGGCATATATAACGGGTCTTGTCCAAGAATAAAATAGCGACATACAACATGAAATTTGTCCAAGTTGCAACAATAGGTCTTAGAAAAAAAATCCTGTAATTCCGGTTTCATATGCTGAAAAAAATAGGGCAAGATACAGTAGGTCGGAAAATAATTTTTTTGAAAATTTTTTTTGCTCGATATTGGTCAGCTGAATGGCCACGAATGTGATCAGTCGGCATTTCTACAACACATAAGTTTAATCATCATATACTGTGGTTTCATAAAGTGTATTATCATTGGCATGATAAAGTATCATAAAGCGAGCAATAAAAAAATATGACAGCAGATTAAAAAAATTCCAGTCAACAGAAAAAAAGAGGGTCAGGAAACCGGAAAAACAGGATATCTTTTTGTCACGTCTTTTGAAATTCTGACAACGCGTGATTACTAGTTTAATTAAAGATTTTCTGGTTGACACTATCAAAGTTTCTATGGGAATTTAGCATGGGTAAATTCTAAGTTTTGAAGGATTTGTAAGAAATGTTTGAGGAAACTGACTTTGTGTTTAACACTAAATTAGTTCCCTCAAACAATGTCTTACAAATCCTTTGAAATATAGAATTCACCCACGCAAAATTCCTACTGAAATCACAGAAACATTGATAGTCTACTCCAGCCCTAGACAACAATCACATACCACTCTATGGAAGCTCAATTGTATTATTTTTTATTTGCAGCAACGCTCGAAGTGATGTCACCCACAGACGTTTCAACTATTACATTTCATCAAGAACTTGACTGCAACAAATGCCTATTGATGTCCGACAGATCTTTACGGTGCAGAAAACTGGCACTAGTTCCATCCGTAGCATTTGATAAACACATGAGCAGGGGATTGGTTCTAGAACATCATGACCAACATGCATTGCAAGAGTGGGAAGGAAGGCTAAGGAGACATTTAAGAGGTAGGAATGTCTGTCTGCGTAAATTATTAGCTATCGGTCACTGTGTAATTTGTTTGTCTCTCTGCGTTCTGCAGCATGATCTCTTCCCAAAAATAAGGCTATGCCTTAATTGTTGAAAAGCACTCAAACTAACCCTAACCCTGACTCTAATCTAATCTTAATCTGACCTAACCTAACCCTGGCACTAATCTAAACCTGACGACCTTTTTTTTTTATCTATTTGGCTCCGAACAATTGGCAGGAAAGATCAACATACAACCTCACACCGCTCCCTCTTATGTTTCAAATCCTGCAGAAATTGCTACAGTCGCATTTCTCCATATTTTCAAATGTTATAATGAAATTTCCAATTTTCTTGGGAAATATAGAATATAAAGCGTTCTACTAGTAGCGAAACACGAAACAATTATGGGGCATTCCTTGGCTAGAATAAGAACAGCTCTTCCTCGAAATCGCAGCATTTGGTTGCCCAGTATTAAAAAGTAGCAGAAGGAAAGTGAAAGCCGATTTCAAATGCTTATTTATATTCATATATTCATCGCATATTGTGGAGGTCAACAGGTCAAATAAATTAAAACAAGTTGCCTTTTCCTCTTATTTGTATCCTGGGAAAGTCAATTCAAGAATTAAAGTTATCCTGGATAAATAAAACGGAGCTAAAATAAAATTATTTGGGGTCGTAGTATTTTGACCAGTCGACCAATCGAGTATGAACGACTGTTTATATAAAAGCCCTAACCAGCAACCGTAACATTAATTTCAACAAATACAGCTAAGAATACAACAACCTACCTTTATTTAGACTCAAAACACAACACAATTCTTTCGTTTTCTAGTTGTGAGCTACCCCGTTCGCATTATGACAAAACAGAACGGCAGAAAATCGGCGACATTGCACATTTCGCCCTCGAGGCTTTATCTCTCGCGTGGATTCCCGCCAAAATTCCACATGCTCGGCTCGTGGAACATCGCGCTTCATGCTAATAACCTGGTCCTGCTCAACCGCAGTATACAACTCAACGTGAACTACGACGGCACGGATAGGCTAACTTTGGCCACGGACAATGCGCGCGATATTTTCGAAACGATTTACGGCTGCTACGGGAAATTGACGCCGCCGAAAGACACGGATGTCAATATGGACAGAATCGTTCCGTCATCCCGACGAAGGCTTGCGTCGATGCCGACAAGTGTACGAAACGAGATGAGCTTGCGGTCTGTATCGGGACGGGCGACGACCATGTCGTTTTCTTGAAATGAAAAAACTAACAGATGCTGGTAGACCATTTCGCAAAAAAGGACACCATTTTGGAGATGATGCATTTTAAGTTGGTTACGGACGAGCAAGCCTTTCTAGGACAAATTTTTTGGTCAGTCAGACCGGTAGCTATTTAACAGTTATTCTACGAACTCGAGTCGAATATGAGCTGATAGCCGATGAGGCGCGTAGCGCCGAATCGGCTATCGCTCATATTTGACGAGAGTGAGTGGAATAACTGTTTTATTATATACACAAGGTCTGAATTCACAGACTTTGCTTTTCGGATATTTTCAATATTTTTCTATTTTGTTTATGTTTTTATCTTCGCTCTTTCGGCCGATTATTTTTTCAAAAATACATATTTTTAACCATTTTAAATTTTAAAAATTTATTTGCTAACCTGAAAACAATTTGTGGGAGTTTTTTCATTGTGTTTTTAATCCTGTAAAGGCTATAAAAAGCGACAATGGCCGCCATTTTGTTTTTCTCTACTAGCAGGATATGAGCTAATATCCTGCTAGTAAAGAACCAATCAGATTGCAGAATACCTCATATCCAGACCTTGTGTATATAATAATAGCTATTATTATTAGATCGCTGACCAACCGCATGCAAGGGCTCAAACTACTTTGCCAAACTGATCTTCTTTGACCGATACATAAAAACAAATTAGTGTACTTTGCCAATTTTCTCTAGTGCCAAAGTTGTCTAACAGGCTGAGCAAATAAAACTTGTCATAAGAAAACTTGTTCATCTGTAACCGAATTTATGGTGTATAAAGTTTATTTGGACGTCGGAGGAACAATACCAGACAAATTCAGGACCAGCCAACTATTACGATCAAATGAAACCGATTAAAGAATAAGGTTTATGAGTAATAGTGAAGCAAGACCAAAAATTTTAAATCAGTATAGTTTCAAAAAGATTCGGTGGTATCAATAATTAGTAAAGCACAAGTGTTTCAGATTTCCAGTACGGGAATAGCCCATCATGCTTGTTAGAACAACGTTAGAATATTAATTTCTATGACTTTATTCATTGATTATATGAGTCAACTTTTAACTAAATGTCGTATATAGTATTATTATAGAACTAATTCATTTTTCAACAATTTACATGCAAACTTCACAGACGGTCTAAGTGGGGAGAACTGACTGCACACATTTGCCCGTTGTTCCGCTGACCGATAACAGACATGGACAAACGACGAATCTTACAAACATCTTACCCGCAGCTGAGAACCGGCATGGATTTTAGTAAACTTGCCACAAGTCGACTCGTATCGTAATGCATTGTAGCTTCTCTCATATTGTAAGAAGTAAAACGAGTGGGGAGGACCCGGTACAGACGACGAAGTGTTCCTTGACAAGTTTATCTGTTCGTGTGTACGACAAAATAATTGACAATTTTTCCTTGACTCAAGGAACCTTGTTCCAAGTGTGTATGGTCGCGAAGGAAAACTTGACTGGTGTACAAGAAATACTTCTATGGTTTTGGGAAACAAAATACGGCCTTGACGTGAGATAAATGTTTAATTTAAACATCCTGTGCATGCACACGACCAACAAAAGTTGTCAAGGAAAACTTGTTGACCGTTCACACAAGAAAGTAAACTTGTCAAGGGAAACTTGCTTGTGTGTATAGGGCTTAAAACGAAAGGGCGAGCTTGAGCTCAAAACCGCAGCTAAATAATACAAGTCGACTCATGTAGCAAGTCTAGGATTTCAGCTGACAACATCCAAAGTCCCCTATTAAACCCTCTTTGGCAGTCTTGTTACAGTCAAATCTAAAAAAATGCTCGCCCTCAACATCCGTCTGTTCATACACAAAATTCCACGCAATTCAACACGGAGTAAGATAAAACAAGTCCGTAATTAATGTCAGCGGGTTTCAAGCGCCAGGACATTCACCGTCACATTCACACGGGCACGTCGCCTTGGTAACCATGATGCTGATACCACACATGCAATCCTCGTGACCGCAGCGACATTTAGCGCGGTTGATTTTCGTGATCTCCTCCCACGGCTTGCTTTCGCTGATGCAACGTACAACTTGGGCGACCTGTTGGAAATATTCACAGTGAAACACTGATCTGTGTTTTCATCGGATACATATGGATGCAACTACTTGAAAAATACAAGGAGAACCTTTAGGTCACATAAAAAAAATTTACTTGTTTAGCGTCCACCCATTTTAATTTTTCTAGGTCGGGCGGGCGGGGTTGTTTTTTTTTTCGTAAAATGCAACACAAAATTCTGCTAAATGCAGGAAATCCAGTATATTATCACAGTCAAAACTCACTTTAATTCTTTCAAAATCCGTTCATGTTTTTTATTACCGTTCATGTTTTTAATAAACAGAAAATTACCGTTTGGCGGTCACGCGCGAACACTTTAGCTGCGAACAGGCATATTCTGGGAAGGAAACTTTGTGTAAACGTATTACATAGCTCCCAGAAGAATAAAATCACCATTTTTTCAAGTAAAACGGTCTTTTTTATAGGCAGTTTTTGCACTAAACTCGGACGGATTTAAAAAAAAAAATTAAAAAATTGGAGGTCGGGGACTTTTATCAGGTCGGGCGGGGACGCTAAACAAGTAATTTTTTTTATGTGGCCTTACTAACTTCCCAACGAATGGCCTTCGCTCGAAACGTCGAAGTTCTCCTTGTATTTTTCAGGTAGTTGTATCTAGAGCTGTGCGGTTCCAAAAATTTTATCTCGGTCCCGGTTCCGGGTTTTTTGGAACAGAAAAACCTCGGTTCGGTTCGGTTTCGGTTATTTCCAAAAAAGTAGAACAGTACAAATGTATGAACTCATTTATGTATGTTTCGAGCATTTTTACTAAATAGATGAATTTATGCCTTTGTAAATTTGTATAAATCTCTGAATATTTTAAAAGAACAATCGGAATTTATTTATGAACATGAAATATTTCTTCTTAAAAAAAAATATTAAAGAAAATGCACAGCGGTAACTATCACAAGTAAAACATCAACTATTAGAGCACTTAGTACAGTGCATATTGTGCACAAAGAGCACAATCTTGTTATTTTCCAAACCTTTCAGCTTGCAATCAGGTGGGCGTTTGGCGGGCGTGGAAATTAAAACCGAAACTACCGGTTCTTTTGCGCATAATTTTTCGGTGCTAAAAAAAGTACCGGAAGAACATAACCGCACAGTTCTAGTTGTATCCCTATCAATCCGAAGCTTTTTTTATCATTCGCACGACCTGTACACTGGCACAGACCTCTCAAGATTGTACTACAGACATTTGTCCGTACTTTCAATTGACAAGTTTTTATTGATATAGATGATATTTCTAGTTGCATGTATATATGACAATTGCATAAAACCAAAATAGACATGCAAAGTACTTACTTCGTTTAATACAGGAAACCCGTGTCTTGCTAATTTGGAAAATATCACTCTTCCTTCACAGTGAATTTCGAAGGCACCTGGGTGACAAAAAAATTATTTATTTTATAATTTCGTGGTATACACTGGGGAAAAAATGCGAAATCCATACTATGAGATTTGCAATTGTACCACTAAATCCATAGTATATCCATACTATTTCGATACTGTATCCGTAGTATGGAAATATACAATTATTATGGATAATCAAAATCCATTCTACTTCCAATGAAGGTCCATACAATTTCCATTGGTAATTTTTTCAAAAATGATGGTTAGCACATATGTCAACTGGGTTTGACTATTCCAATGTGCAGTTTGAACGGCTGTTCCAATATGATTATAATTTTACCTCAGTCGCATAGAGAAGAGAGCTTCCATTTTGACTCTACCAAACATTGCAGGTTTTATTTGGGTACTGCGGTCACCCCCTGTAGTAAAACTGGGCCAATGAGGTCGTCCTTACTGGCCCTCTAGGGAAATCAGTGGAAAACTGATCAAGCCATCCAATATAGATAAACAAGCCGACCTACCTTCTTCGTGTGATAGAGCTCCAGTCACCTCAGCTTTAGCAGTTGCTTTTCGGATCCACGAGACCAGCTCTGAGTACAGTTGCTTGTAAGCTTTATCTTTTCTAAATAAATAAATAAATGAACGAAAGGTCGAAAGCTATACCACAATTCTTGCAAATGAGAACGAGGCAAGGCTACTAATGGTCACTAATGGGTGATTTCAGCAAAAGACTAAATTTTGATCAAGGCAAGAAGAATGAAATCATATCCAACACCACAGCTAGAAAGAGCATCTTAGAATGAGTAAAACTGCAAAGATTGGTTGCTAAATGTTGTAAGATGAAGAAAATACAGCCCTGTGAAGTTTGTAAATTTTGTTTTTATTTGTATTACGCGCTGTAAGAATAACCACTTTCGGCTCAAAAATTTTTCCCGCGCGTAAAAAAATATATCAGAACAAAATTTGCAAACTTCACAGGGCTATATTTTCCTTATTTTACAACAATTCGCAACCAAACTTTGCAATTTTAATCATTTTAAGAAGCTCTTTCCAGCCATGGTAATGGCTTTCGTTCTTCTTGTCTAGATCAAAATTTCGTCTATAGATGGAATCACCCATTAAAGATGGAAGGTAGCTATGCCCCCAAAATTTGATTGAAAAATGTAAACTAGAAAGGCATTCTAATGGCTCATAGGCGAATAACACTGAAGTTCTGTGATCACAGTTGGAATTTTGGCATCATCAACACTGACGTCTTGAAGGATATGTCTTTGAGCAAACTAATTACAAATCCTTCAAAACTTAGAATTTCCCGATGCAAAATTCCTACTGTGATCACAGAAACGCCCATAGTGTAAACCAGGCATAAAGAATGTTCTCGATTATTCAAAGTGAGAATCCAAAATCAATTTTAAATGTTGAAATGAATTACATTGACGTTTAATAGCCGCAATCTCTTGTAAATTTGTAGAACATCGACTGAATGCCATAGGGACAGACATACCCCATATTGAGAATATCGGAATTAGTCGGGTTTCATGTGGTAATAGAGCATGACCTATATAATTACTTAATTGATACAGTGCGTTCAAATCAAATACATCCGTACGGCTGTTTTATGACAGTAGTCTAGCAGTCTGTAGTCTCTGAAAAAGGGTGGGAGTATATATTAAAATTTAAAAGCATGCCCAAATTTGGAAGTTTCACAATTACGTATTCTATGCAATACATGAGGCAATATTACATTACAATTCTAAGAGCTTCCAAAAATTTCGAAAATTTTTGTCGAATATGAAGAAAATGATGAGATCATAAAAATTCTTACGAATTCTTATGATTCTTAAAAATTCGGATCCCAAGACTACCTCGGGTTAAGCACTGCTACGCACTGATCTTAATCAAGTGCATCATACAGATACAATCTTCAGCACATATGCCAAAATGTAAAATTTTTAAAGATTTTCGCTTCCTTACACGAGCCAGCAAAATGCCGCCAAAATTAGTCAAACCAATTTTCGCTCAGACATTAGCGCGGACGTTTCTAAACTGACCATTCAACGAAAATGCACAACCTTTAATTTTATTTCATTTTTTATTCGGCAAAGGGTAGAAGGTGTACAGAATGCACATACTAATTTGGATAAGAAGCAGATGCTTCGATTAATAACAGATGCTACGCTATGGTTTTAATAACACACGTCCTTGTTTTACGTTGAACGTATTCCATTATTCCTAGAAGTATCATGCGCAAATACTTTCTAACTAAAATAAAATAAGTAAGATTATTAGTCGGTTTGGACTGTTGAGCGAATAAAATTGTGAGTTTTTCTGGTTTATATCCGATTGCTTAACAGATTGAAGTCTGTATAAAGTTAGGCAGTTCAGGCTATCAAACATATCGTGAATTTTTTCTCTGGGAAATTTCCACTGCTAGGCGATTGAGTGAGCCTCTCTGAGTGTCAAGTAGATAAACATTTCGGCGAGCCTTTGATCGACCAGATAAATATTGCAATACAATTCAAATCTTCAGTTACTATAGCCTATTCAGCAGATTTTGAATTTCTTTGAATTTCGTGGATTTTTTCCCGCGGGCGCTCTGATTTCCTCGCACAGGGAAAGTCGACAGGGTGGGTTAGGACTTAGGATAAACACAGTTAAGAAAGTAATATCACGGCAATTGTTGTAAAACATAAATAGTCTAGTTTCATATTCATGAATCTCCTGAGGATTGTTCTGAAATCAAAATAAACAGTCTATATAAAAGGCTAAGTGTCTAATTAGGTGTAAGTATAATACTTATGTAAAACGCACGTGATCATATCACATGTACACCACATAAATTTGATCTTAAATTTCCACTATTGCATCTTCTAACACGAACTGGTTATGTGCTGCATACCTTATTAGATCAAAGGTTCTGTGCTGCATGCCTTATCAGATCAAAGTCTAAATAATCAAAGTCCATATGTTTAGACTCTCAAGCACACAGGGCCTATATATTCGTTCCAATATCGTTCTTGAGTATTAAATTTCATGTAAATTTCTAGGCAACTTAGGCTGATAGTCAGGAAAATTATAACAGCATTGAAAGGCCGACAATGTGGAAGATTGAGAATGAAGACTGTTTCAGTTGGATTTATGGGTTTAAATTCTAAAAATTGCCCCGAACTCCCCTAGTAGATTAAAAACCCCGTATTTCATTGTGCGAATATATTCTCTTGGGGAAAAAATACTACTTGTATAACGACAAATCGTCCAACGACAAATCGTCGGTCAAAGCACATGCTAGCCAAGCACATGCAAGCGTCCAAGCACATTGTGAATTTCTGTAGTATTAAATTTCTACTAATAGGTGACTGACGCTCCCCAAGTGGTCTGCCCTCAAGTAGAGAGATGCGTAAGGCCTTTGATTGACTTGTCTGATATTAGTGATATATGCATTCCTTATCAGATTCAAATGTTCATATCGTAAGAATACACTTGAGCCTGTCAAGTTTTATTTAATTTTCTACAATATTTAAGACAAATCATGACAGTAATGATATCTCTCCAATTATGTCGAATGCGTATTGGTCGCAGTACATATAAGGGTGTCTTATACGCTGTGAGAATGCGACAGCCCTCTTGTGAGATGTAAAAACCCAAAATACCAAAGTACTTTGGGGCATAAGATTGAAATCCATTAGTGTAAAGTTGACCTATATTCTTCAAAGACTAATTTTGTTGCGCGTAAATATCAAGATTTTACCACAAGTTCAAGTAAAACTAACCACAAGTAAATGATTACTTGGCGAGCGCTATTTAAGGAGAAATAGATAAGATTATCTCAGTATCTCTGCGACAAAACAAGTCGAACCGTGCAATGGAGAATATCATTTAAAGCGCAGCATGATCCTTCAATCAGCATAAGAAGTTTAATGCTTCTTCAACACGCGTTCTGACGCAAAAGACGCACGCTACAACGTCGACAAACATGACAATATCGCTCATAATATGCAATAATATACATCTCATCAAATCTCAATAAGCCGAGATATCTCGCATTCTAAGAAAATACAAATATATTATAATCCTAGCGTAAATAAACAATTGTAGGTCTTGTGATGATATTAATAGCGACAGCATGGAAAAACAATTGCTCTGACGCATTTCAAATATTCCAATCACGCACACGAACACTTACATCGCCAAAAATAAGTAGGGGATGAGATTAAGACTATTTTAGATCAGTGTTCCACTGGAAAAACAATTTAATTAAAATCCATAGATTGGAGATTGTATGGACCTTTATTGGAAATAGAATGGAATTTTGGTTATCCATAATAATTGTATATTTCTACACTATGAATATAGTATCGAAATAGTATGGATATACTATGGATTTAGTGGTGCAATTGCAAATCTCATAGTATGGATTTCACATTTTTTCCCCAGTGTTCATAAATGTTCAAGATAAAAATTTTCACCAAAAATATGCATTACTGAAGTACATAAACCCAATCGTTTGTTGGAAAAATCTCCACCGATTGGGACACTTGTAATAAGATGTACAGGCGCTCGTAGAGAGCTGCTACTTGTTTCGGGTGAGGAGTAGAAAAACGCGCTGTGACCTTTAAGTCCTTTAATGAGTTAGCCGAGTCTATTTTGCCGTGCTATATATGTCTTAGATGTATATAGCACATCTAATTCAGGTGAAACAAGGATGTATTTTGCATCTGTTACTTATCAAATTTAAAATCAGTTCAGTGCGTGCGTTTTCTAAACTCGCTTCCTTCGGTGAAATTAATTTGTTTTGCGGCACGGTGCCAAAAGAAAACTTGCAATCAATGTAAATATAGCTTAGTTTGGTTGATACTTTTAATAACTATCATTCCTTATCTATGACCTTTGCTTGCTTAGACTGCTTTGGCAGGCTGTGGTTCAACTAGGCGGCATGACAGGTGTGTATAATATATAATAGGCAATCCCCAAACAGGAAAGCTTGCAGTACGAAAAAAATAAAACCCCTTATCCCAAACAGGAAAGACACATTGATTGAATCGCATGACACACAATACAACACAAAACACTACCGTCACGATTACATCCGATCGTGTAAACACGCAATGTGTTCAAATCAACAAGTCATGCATATTATGTAAATTTGTCATCTTGGACGCGTATTATGTAAATTAGCAAAAATTTAGAAGTGCGCAATTTTGCTAGCTTTGTCATACTGCTGGCGTTGTGAACTTGCGGCACATAAATATTTATGCGCGCAATACAGTTCTATGCGTGAATGATGCAAATTCCCCATACGGATGGAAATGCGCAAACTACGCACAAAAGATCACGCCAGGCGTGGGCGCGATTCTCTCCGGTTCGTACCCTCCATTCTCACGCCCACCATTCGTCCGATTTAACGTGCTAAGCTTCGCGAAAACGAGTACTTGTGGTCTTAAGTCCATTGTTTGACTACACACCAACGCCTGGTTCCCATTTCGTCGTAACTGTCGAGAATATATCAAATTGGCTGATGTAATCAAGTCTCGATATATCAGTTTACAGTCACTAAAGACTGACTTGCCAGTCTGGAAAGTTTGCAATGCGCAGCCGAGATCTCGGGTGCGCAGTTTTGATGTCCCAATGTATTTACTATTAAATTTTCAGTAAAAACAAACAGATCTAAACTATTTCACGAGTTTGTCACGACAGTTACAACCGAATGAAAACGACTTTATTGTGCGAATGGTAGGGCGTTCTAAGTTCCAAGACCAAAATATCATGCTTAGGTTAGGCATTACTTAAACATTAGGGAGCTTAAGATACACCAAATCTACGACGCGAACGTGACAAGAAACTGCCACTATCATCACAGTTTCACTTCACGGGTAAAAACTATGGATTGTTGTTGGTAAACAAAGCCAGGAACACGAGAAAAACAAAGTAAAACTAGTCTCCAATTATTACCGGCTGTTTTTTAGTCCGCGTCGCAGATTTGGTGCATCTTAAGCTCCTTATTACTAGTTTAAATACGTGCTGGTCCAGTACGCCTGACCGCAAACAGCAAATCGTTATTTGAGGTCAACTGTTAGCTGTTCGAAGTTTATAGGGGAACTTGCGCATGATTTAGCTACTTTCAGCTATCGAAATTGTGGGCCTTACTTTCGCATGCGATTTGAAGATTGCCGTGAACGTAAATCTTAAAGTCCCTAGTATTCTATAGTCTACACCAAACTACCGTGGTTTGAGTCTGAACTACCTGGATGTGATTGAAAATACTACGACGTTTCCTTTTCCTGCGAAAGATCGTCGCCAGAAGGCTCAAATTAGGCCGTGGCCTAAGATTGTTTCACCTTCATAAGGCAGTTTAAGTACAAACCACGGCAGTTTGAAGTTTAGTAACATCTACTTCAAATCACTTACGCCATTTCGACAGTCACGTTAACCGATCTGATAGAAACTCTTCTCTGTCGTCCAGCCATGTTGTCGTAATGAATTTACTTCGCGTATCTCCACGAAATCTAAATTAACAAAAACAATTCCAAAACGATAGCGCAACGAAGTAACAACTGACGCACGCCTTTCGAACGAAGAATCGAGTGCTCTTCTAGGTGCTTTTCTTCAAACCAGGTCAAAAGACGAAAATTTCGCTCGGGTGTTTATCAGAGTTTGCGCCGAATGAAAGTAATTAATTCAGATGTCGTTGTAAACTGAGCACGATAAATTGTTTGAATAGCTGGGATAAGTGAAAGCCTGATGACAGATAGGGCGCCGAACGCAATCGCATAAAGAATTCACAAATACATATAAATGTGATGACTGGTGAGTATGAGTCAGGATAAAACGCGGATGCGAACGGACGGATTGTGGACGGACGGATGGCGGACGGACGGATGACTTTTATTCCCGCTAAACGTCACTTAACAGTCATATCCGCGTTTTATCCAAAAGGCTAAAACGCGGAGATGGGCCAAAAAACTTTTTCATGCCTTTATAAGTCATATCTGCGTTTGGATAAAACGCGGATATGACTGTTAAATGACGTTTAACGAGAACAAAAGTCATCCGTCCGTCCGTCGCCTTCCGTACGTATCCGCGTTTTATCCTAACTCCGAAGGGTATGCAGTCGCTTGGGCATTAACCAAAGCCATTCATAATCTATACAAAACCTCGTACAAAGCCGTAGGTCTTCACACTTGCGAGCTGCAGATTAAAAGCACTCGCTATATCTACAATGCAGCGGGCGCCAAACCCATGATTTTCATTCACAAAATACATGCATTGCCCTAATGTGTACCCAAAAATTTATTATAATTTAATATAATTCGCCTTATCATATCATGGGCGAATTCCCATGGGGGAAGAAGCACCGCGGTTTAATAACGTCAAACGCGAGTATATACAGAAGTTACCTAACAACCTAAATTACCTTAAAACAAACCAAAACAATTTCAATGGAAAAATATAATTCTCTCCTAGTTTTCGCATTTCAATTTGCTAACTATGTATACAGATCAAGTTTAGTCTATACTCGAGTACAGTTGATTACTTAGTTACTATACAGTAAAGTTTAGGATTTAATGTAATAATGATATTGTAAATTTACATGTTGTAATTTTGTCACTGAAAACACCCTTCAGGGGAGTGTCAAGAAAGTCAAATCAAATCAAACCTAGTCAACCTGGTTGTCTTGTCGAAGCCATGATAAAACTATTGTTTTGAACGAAAATATTTACCTTAATTAAGCCGATGTACTATTTAAAACATGAGCAACAGTGTTTTATCAGATTTCAAAAACAAGTAGCCTGCCTGGCAGGCGGAACACCCAACAAGCGAGAGTAGTGGTTGTCTTGGACCTCTTTATATAGGATCAACTCTAGGACCTCTTTATATAGCTGAAGTGATACCTAGGGTGCGTTCTAATTTTTTTCAATTATTTCTACTGCACCAGCTTGCCTCGTAATTTCATATTGAACAGTACGCAATTTCTTACTGCTCTTCTTGAAAATACTGAGAACTATATACTACGCAAACAAGTTCTATTTTGATTATCCACAACAAATTTTTTTGCTACTTTGTACAATTGTTTCAGTTCTTTCCGGAGTTTAACGATATATACGCAGCTGTTCATAGCTGTTATGGACAATGGTTTCGTTCAATGCCAAACATTCGTGTGATAAAAATGGCAAGCTATAACTCAACAATGTGCTAAGCCATAGAAGACTTGCAATGCTCAAAAAAATATTACTACATTCGCCTTATCTTGTTATCTGACTTCCTTGTACTCAGTGGAACCATGACTGGGTCCTCCCAAACGGTACACACCAACTGAACGATCTTTGGAAGCCGTTACAATGTCTGAGTGATTGTTAAGAAACAATAACGTACAACAGTACTTGTACTGTATATCTGCTGTACCGTACGGTATTGAATATGGTTTGATTTGTAATCTAAGTGAGCATATATACATGTATATATACAATTTAAGACCTAAGGCGTAAAAAAGTATATCTGTGGTTCCGGTTCCCCGACCCTATTTTTTTCTGCCGACCCTATTATTTTTTCAACGCGATTGACCGTGCGACCCTATTTTCTGCGGGTGGTTGCGGGTTGCTGCCAAAATGGCGTCTGTTGTCACACTAATTATTGAAAAAACCATGAAAAAAAATATTAAAAATTATTTCCGACCTACCGACCCTAATTTTTTCGCGATATGAAACCGGAACCACAGGGGTTTTTTTTACGCCTAACCAGGAACGGTTGCAATTTAGGTCTTAAGAAACGGTTTAGAAATAGTTTTATCCCATATGCAATTAGAACTTATTCGTAGTTTTAAATTAACTTTTTAATTATTTTATATTCTCTTATAGCTTATTTTGAATATGTATCTTAATTAACTTCATATAATGTAAAAACGTGTAATTCAATCCTTGATTGCAAAACGTTTTATATTAAAAATAAAAAAAAATCAAATAAAAAAAATTGTGTATATATGCTCACTTGGATTGTCCATCAAAGTCCAAACCCAGCATTCTAGTTCGACCAAATATTTACAGTACCAAATGAAGTGCAAAAACATATTTTGGTTTGTAATGGTTGTTATATATATCAAGCATTTGGGATAAGCACGGATCCGGAATTACGGAATCGCGGAAAGCTTAAAAAGGGATAAAACGCGGAAAACGGATAAAGATCTCCCATTACAAATCAAAAGATACATTCATCAAATGGTGATATATCCATGTCTTCTACGTCATCTTTATGACTAAACAGTTCATCTTGAAACTCGTGGCGGTCTGAATAGCGACGATACCTTGAAAACGACAACAAAGATATAGATAAATAATAAAAAACACAAATCCATCGAGGAAAAAACCTGAATCCATCGACGAAAAAGTAACACTCGCATTGATACTGCGTAGGCTTGCCACAAACATAGTACGAAATGTTCATGCGAAGTGTTAAAACCAAAAACAAAAAAGATAGTGTTTGCACTTTGAAATGTGAAATTTCGAATTTTCACGAATTTGCCGGAGCTGGAAATTTTCTGCCGGAGCCGGAGTTTTTTTCCTGAAGCCGAAGGTGAAAAAACTGGAGTTTGCACAGCATTGGAAAAAAAAAGTGAAATCCATACTATGAGATTTTCAATTGCACCACTAAATTCATAGTATATCCATACTATTTCGATACTATATCCATAGTATGGAAATATACAATTATTATGGATAATCAAAAATCCATTCTATTTCCAATGAAGGACCATACAATTTCCATCCCATGGATTTTCAAAAAAATTTCCAGTCACAGTGTATAGTCGAAGGCTTACCTTCTAACCACTCCTTTATCACAAGCTGTGTAAAGATAGTTACCATTTGAAGAATATCTGAAATGATTTCGTGACACAGGAGTTAATGTTGCCTTTCAATAATCATTGGAGTACTAAGTGCAAGGTATGAATAAAAATCTTCACGGTTCTGCTCATAAAGCATGGTCAGATATCAAAGTGAAATATTATTATTATTAACAATATTTTAGCAGGTAAATACTCCTTCAGTGTACAAGGACACTGTTATCAATGGAGGAATTGTCAAACAATCCAGTATAAAAAGACCACACTAAAAAGTGACGATATAAAAAGTTTGAAAGTTAAAGGTTAAAAGTATTTTGAAAAACTTTTAAGATTTGCTAGTTATCTATAGTCAAGCGTTGAAAGTATCCTGTATTTTAGATCTAAACTTTGTTATAACAGATAATTTTCTTGAAACATGTACGATTTTCTACCGCTCTCAGTTTTCACCTTCGATAACATGACATTTTCCACATTATTTCGCATGTTGATATTATGCTCAATACGTTTAAAGTAATCATTATAGGTTTCTGGGGCAGTACCATTCAAACATTTCCATACATCCAAGATGGATAATCTATTACACGCCGATTTAATTGAAATCCAATTACTCATTGATTTCTCCCCGAACACAATTTTGAATGAGCGATCTTGTATTTTCTGAAATCTATTTACCATTGTATCAGAACAGAGTACTAAGGGGTGGCAGTAAAGGAGAATTGGTTTTATCATGACTCTAAATATCGACTCCGCCACATGAGTTGTAATCGTTGGCCTAATTAATGCTACAACATACTTGATCTTCCACAATGGTACATCTCCATGTTCAGTCATTGTTTCCTGTACGCCAACATCTGGAACGTAACTGGACAGATGATCTCCACCAAACATCACTACACCTACAGAATCACATTTTTATATATTGCTTTACTACACATGTTGATTTTCAGCCTAGATATAAAAATAGAATTTCTTTGGTTTTGACGTGTGGCTCAAAAGCCACTCCCAAAATTGATGCTTCACATCTCCATAGGCCATTCACAAACATTAGACGAAAGTCGGTCCCAGAACAGAAGACATACTCAAAAAAAACTTTGGATGTGCCTCTCCTGTTTGACTAACAACGATGGGCAGATTTACTGGGGGGGTGGGTTAACACCCCCTAGAATATCTCTAACCCCTCTTAAAAATTAAGTGTTCAACCCCATCAAAATTTCGCTTTACCCCTCCTATTTGTGTGAAAGTTTTTAAACTTAACGCCTAACCCCTGCCGAAGCTCGCTCAGCGGTACAGCTTACACCCCCACTAGAAATTTTTCCACTCCTTCTTTCAAAATAATGAAAAACCGCCCTTGCTAACAACACTGCATAAGTTATTAACATAGACTAGAATTTGCTTCATAACTGATCTGTACCAAATGGTAACCGATTTTACCCATTGAGCGCCAGCACTCTCCCGTTGACGAGTAAAACCCTCTAGGGTTAGACAGAGTAAAGTGGAGTGCATTTTGGACAATGGGTTACTGTCGTTCCAATTGAAGTGTTGCTCAAATATTGATTCAATACATTACCTCGGGCTGACCAATTCATTTCATCAAGTTCCTCGAGATATTTATACACTTCCTGTGAAAGAGCC